CGCGTGCGCTCGCCAGACAGACAGAGAGAGACACAGAGACAGAAAGCGAGAAATCACCCCCCAGGGGGGATGGTCACGCCGCAATCCCTTCTCCTCTCGGGATCTTGGGCACGCATGCACACGCGCCCGGTGTGAGTTTTAAGCCACCAGGTCCGGGACACGAACCGCGGTCGACTATGTGGGAGTCCAGCGACATAGCCATTACGCTAACTGCTGGTTCCCATGGCCCAGGAACATTTTAACAAGAATGTACGCCATTGGTTGGTGAGTCACAGTGTCAACCCAGAAAGGAAGACTTGAGGCATAGAAAGTGAAGCAGGAGGCCAGGCAGGTGGCATAATGGTTGTCACTGGACTCTCACATAGTCAACTGTGGTTCGAGTCTTGGACCCAATGACTTAAAAGTCATGTCAGGTGTGTGCGTACACGTGCCCAAAATCCCAAGAGGAGAATGGAGGAAAAGGGGTTACAGCGTGGCCATGCCCCGGGGGGCTGATTTCTTGCTTTCTGTCTGTCTCTCCCTGTATTTTTGGTGAGCACACATGCCCTATCACAAAAACCTCTCTAAAAAAAGAGGTGAGAAACGATGAGGCTCTGAACAAGAGCATGAGAAGGTCAAGAAGGAGATGGAAAAACCCATGCGACCTGGTGGCTGGACACTGGGGATGGACAGTAGGACTAATTCTAAGGTCACAGGCTACAATTTGCAGAGAGAAAGTGCAGGGGGAGATAATGAGACGCATTCGAGGGGTGTGTGGTTTGACCGTGAACTCGTCGCCTAGCAGTGGGGTAGGGCACCTTCACTGTGACTGCGGAAGTGTCAGGGTCCGAGGCTGCTCAACCATCAAGTTAGACCAAAACCAAATTACCTTTTCCGGTACAAAATGTTGCCTCTAGCACTCATCTATTTTGGGGTGTGTGGGGGAGGCAGGCATTCTTTTCCTTGTTTTTCAAGTCATGTGGCAAGACTGAAATAGAATTTCCACCCAAATAGCTCCTCCCATAAGTGCTGTTTTATAATGTTTTTTTTTTTCATTTTGTGAAGTCCCGAATGTTACAGAAATATCATTAAAATGCTGCCTCGTTTATTTGTTTTCTTCACTAGAGGGAAAGGACTATCCTTGGGCAAGTAACTTTCCTAAGCCTCAGCTTCTGCATCATTAAAATGGAGAAAATATCAACTACCTCCTAAGACTGTTGACAGATGAAGTGGAAAAAAAAAATCTCTAAATCACTTGGCACAGAGCCGACGTAGTAAATATTCCAGAAATGTATTTGTATTTTACCTTTGCTTATTACAAACATTACTTGTTCAGATAGGAAACAAAGATTCCCATCATGGACTGCTGGCTCTCAGGGGAGCATCTACAAATACGTGTTTTTTATATTTCTGTGACTTTTAATTTTTTTTTTTTTCTGTTTATTAGAAGCAGGGATTGCCCCAAAGGAAATTCTGGCCTCAGTTAGCAAGGAGCTGGCACTGATGACAGACCCCAAGAGTGGCTTTCTTCCAAGGGCCAAGGCCACTAGGCAGAGACCTTCTTTCTGATGAGAAACATACTGACCACAAGAACCTCCCAATTCCCCACTGTGCGAGTAAGTGGTCACGTGATCACTGTTACCTGACCTGGAAGAGAAGCAGCTGACCTGGCTTCCAGGCCTGGTCCTGTCACTACCTGACATCAGACTTTGGGAAAATCCCTTAAATTCTGGATCCCTATATTTTCTCATCTATTATGGGGAGAGTGAAACATGTCCTGCCCACCTTTCAAGGCAATGAGAGACCAAAATTATTGAATATGTATGAAGGCACTATAAAGATTTTAGACTGCTTGTTTCTACTCTGATAGCTAAGAAATGATAGAGGATTGAAATAATCATGTTTTCTAGGGTCCAGCAAGTGGCCTGGTGGTTAAGGGCACTGGACTCCCACATGGCTGATCATGGTTCAAGTCCTGGACCTGGCGGCTTGCTTTCTCACTTTCTGTGCATCTCTCTCTCACAAGCGTGTGTGCCCTGTCCCTTTCTGGTCAAATTAAAATGAATAAATAAATAAGTTAAATAAAAAGAATTCTTTAAAAAAAATCATGTTTTTGGGACCAGCAATCAGGTTTTTGGGCATAATGGTTATGTCGTTGGACTCCTACATGGTTGACCACAATTCGAGTCCTGGACCTGGAAGCTTGAAACTCATATCAGTCACATGCACGTACATGCCCAAATCCTGAGAGGAGAATGGAGGAGAAGGGATTGTGGCATGGCCATCCTCCAGAGGGATGATTTCTTGCTTTCCACTCAGCCTCCTCTGATGTCACTCAGGAGAGCAGAGGAAATGGGGAAGTTGAGGTTGTCACTTGACCTTGGTTTATGGAGCCAGGAGGACTCTGAGGAGCTTTTTAATAGAGGGGTTTATGTTTTGCTGAAATAGACTATTCATTGTCAAAAGTTTTTGTCTTACAGATTATCCTTTTCTTGGTCCTTTGGCAAAAGAGAGAGAAGGCTTTCATTGTTTTTATTAGCTTGCTTGTTTTGTGGAATTGTTGTTAGCTTTTGTACTGTTGGTGTTTCTGAGGTGTGGGCTTCTCCAGCATCCAGACTGGGATATATAAGAGGAAAACAGAAAACCCAAGGAACTCAGTGCTGTGCCATACCTTCTATATCACGGTCTCCAGCCAGCCCACCTTCTTTCCACATTTCAGGGCTTTTTGTTTTCATTTTACAGTATAATTCACTGCTTTTAGTTGTACTTAGTGGGAGAGATTGAGAGAAATGTGCCTGTTCCTTCTAGCCTGGAACCAGAAGGCCCAATTCTCTGATTTTTGTTTCTTTGTCTGCTTTGTTTTTAAATGCTTTTGGTTAATTGGAATGTGAAGAAAACACAAGCTTCATATGCCATTTATTCTGTCTCGCTGCTTGGCCCTCTTGGTATTCACCACATGGGGGCCTCCTCCTACCCTCGATGCTATGCTGCGTGGGCCCACTTCTTCCTACTTCAGCTCTTTTCTCCTTCATTGCCTCCAACTTCTGTTTCAGCAGCCCTCTCCCAAGGCCCTGACTCATAGGGCAAACTACCAATGTGTTTGCATTAAACAATAATAGATAATTCTGTAGATAAATATCTTCCCTATCCACGTGGCAGCCTCTCCATCACTATACAGAATATTTAACATGGGCATTTGCGGTTTCTTACCAATGACCAGAGCACCGCCTAACCAGTGAGTAGGCATTTAACTTTCAACCAGAACTAAGTAGGGTCATCAGGGTGGCCACTCCAAAGACAGAGTATCTTGGGACAAATCCCATCATGCATTCTTTTTTTTAAAATACTTTTAAAAAATAATTAATTTACTTAATTAATTTAAAGTTGACCACCAGAGAGGGACAGAGTGAGAGAGAGTGAGAGAGACAAAGTGAAAAAGCAAGCCACCAGGTTGAGAACTAGAACCGTGGTTGGCCATGTGGGAGTCCAGCACCCTTAACCACCAGACCACCTGTCGTCCTCCCATCATGCATTCTTAGAGGGAACTAATTTCTGATTTTTTTCCTCTATTTTTCTAATTATCGATCAAAAACATTTTTAAAATTTTTGTGTTTATTTTATTAAAGTGAACTGAGAGTTCAAATTTTGGTTCAATAAAACCCCCATGCATCACCCAATAAATTATAATTGTTAGTTTACCCAGCCACCTGCTCAGGAGACTGAGGGTTCCCTTAGATGAAGAACTATGTCTCATGGATCTCCAGGGCTTGGCATGCCCAACAAAGTTGCTAAATTAATGAGTTAAAGTGACACGGATCTTCAATTCTCCTTGGCTTTTTTTGTTTGTTTGTTTTGTTTGTTTGTTTGTTTGAGTTCCTAGAATTGGGAAAAGCTTGGGAGTCCTATTTACCTAGTATGGCTCAAGAAGGCTGGAAATACTTATGCAGGGTTGCTGCATACTGACTCTCAGGTAGCACTGCTATTCCAAGGTGCTATTCATGTAATAAGTATCCAGAGGTTCTGCAATCCATGCCACTAGTCTCAGGGGTAAGACCTCAAGTCCAACACATTTTCTAGACTCTTAAGTGCCTATTCCCAGTAGAGAGAGGATGCCCTTGCATTGGCAGCCAGGCGGGGTTACGGGCCTAAAGAGTGAGGGATTGGGTACCCCTAGTTACCTGACAGGCATCATAGCTCTCATTCTTATATCCAGCACACATCATATTTTTGGTAAGTTTTGGAAACAACATTGAACATTCCTTCCAATCTGTTATAACCATTGGTGCTTTCATCAGATCAGTTTTCATGGAGTCTTTGTCACCTGGCCCAGAGAGAAAGCACATTAGACAAGTGACTGGGCAGCAGGTCCCTGTGCTGATGATGCAACAAACTGCCCAACCACCCCTGCATTCACCAGTCACCTGCCCACCTTATTTCACATTCCTCCCAGCCCCTCACCTTCTGCTTCCTTCAGATGACTCTGCGCCTGGTGTTTATCCACTTCCCTATCCCATACTTTTCTGAAAAACTCTCCATCTACTAAAATCATTCCCCTCATTCAAACCATATTCCTGATTTTAAGTAAACTTCCAGCTTGACTTCAACTAGCCTTATGGATTCAATCCTCTTTGGAACTGGCCGTTGATCCTTCCCCAGCATGGTCCTGCCTTGGCAACATATTTGCCTTTTGCTAGTTTTTATTATGTGAGCTTGGCACTTCTGCCATGCAGAGTCATGGAGAGGAGTTTGTAACCTCCAGTGAAATTTATTTAGGCCCTCTAGCAGGTTCTCTTGTTGACCAAGATTCTATACAGAGGATTAGAGGGGATTTGCAGAGCCCCCTTCTTCATGGTCAGGTGCTAAGAGTTTGCCCGGACTTCTCTTTATCTTATTAACTGATCACACAGAGAAGCTGTAATTCTTCTCCTTACTATTTTTAATATTGCATATGCCTTGCTGCCTGCTCCTAGAGAGCACTACGTTACACACAATGGATTCTGTAATGACAGGATTGCACTGAGCAGTTAAAAGTGTGACATGTACACCCAAATTCCTTCCTTCACCTGTCAGACTAAAGGGACAAAATGGGAATGCCTTGAAGGACTAACAGAAACACCTGAACCTGAAAACTCCAAATACACTCTTCTACCCAAGCAGAGGTCAACAGGCTTGCCATGTGCTAATTTTAGACACAGATGATAATCTAAGAGACTGCCCACCTTGGGGTGGAAAAGGAGCCTTCTCTGAAACCACTTTGCCATTTGTCCCTGGCACTGTGATAAAAAACATATTGCTCCCAGCCACTCTAAGACACTTGTGAACCTTGGTCCCAGAGACTTGCTACCTCTGTCCCGGCCTCAGCACCTCAGACCCTTTGTGAGACCTCTAGAAATGGATTGGACGGGCTCCAGTTCCTTTAAGGGCAGATGCTTGTGACAGCTGGTGATACAAGACTAACTCTTTGGCTCCAGGAACTGCTCAGAGTCATCAGCGAGGGTGAGTTATTCTCATCCCTTGACATGACTGCATTGCTGTGCTAAAATTTATGCTATGCAATAAAATCTGACATGGTGGAAAGACACAAAGATGTCTAGGGTCTCATTTCCTTGCTTGCAACAGCTCCACCTCCAATGTTTGAGTAGCGCCAAGAGCCCAGGTTCCCTGTGGTGGCTGAGCTCCTGAAACAGCACCATCTTCCAGCCCCAGCTTGTTGCAAATAAGCCCCATGGACCCAGAAGTCTTGCTCTGGCCTGAGACAATGATGTGTTGTTCCCATCTGCTCCCTGGCCTGTTTGCTTTTGGTGTTGTTGGGTTTTCTTTGGGGATAGTCCAATAGGGCTTTCATCATACCTTTCTACCCTGGTATACGTTCTCCACTTCTGGCCAGGAAATAACATAACAACAAATAACAAGTAACATCAGGTTCATTTCTAAGAACAGCTGGGCAGCACTCCAGGACCATCAAAAGCTTAGTCCAGGATGAGCATCTCTAATGCCTTGAGGGACCGGGTGGGAACCATTAAGATGTGACTCAAGTGAGATGTTTGAGAGTAAAGAGTAGAGGGGCCTCTGGCTGACTGGAGAGTTTACATCAGATTAAATGAACAAGACTTCTCTGTGCTGGGGGAAGAAGACCACACCCACAGACCAACTCAGACCTGACATCTCAACTTGGGGCCCTGGGGATATGTTTCCTTGGCACTCAGAAGAGGCAGAGATGGGGCTTCAGTGAGCCCAAGTAAGAATTTGATCCCATGCAGGTCTCGTTTTCCTCCCTCCTTCCTTAGCTCCTTCCTTTGACCTTCCTGCCCTCCCTCAGACTGAGTGGCTCTTGCCCTGGCAGCTTTCAGGAGATGAAGAGTTGTCACATACCAGCATAGGTCTTTCCCCATCCTGCAATCCAGCATTCATGCCACTTGGAAGGGATGGGCTGTGTGGGTAGGCAGATGGGCAGTATCAGGTCACTGAATGTGATTGGAGACCCCACCAGCAGCAAGGCAATGTCGTTGTCCATGTTGACTCTTTTAAAGGTCTTGTGAAAAATTATGCTGGTGACATCCTTTATTTCCATGGATGAACTGGTTAAGTCATTGGTCCCCATCACAATGCTCAGATCTCTTGGACTGAGGGCAGAGAATCACAGAGGGGCAAGCGGGAGGGGAAGGGAAGTCACAAAAATGCACAGAATTGTCAGTGCCTGCAAAGCCCAAATCCCATATGACTCCAGGGGCCTTTAGGACTGGTCCTGTTAGGGTTGTTGCCCAGGAAGGTGTGAGAATTTGACAAAGAGAGAAGAAGATCAAAGCAATCTGTGAGACCACAGCTATACCTCGGCTCCATTAGGAGTCTCAAAGGTATGAATGAGATACTCCTGACTGATGGCCTAAAGACATAGCTTGGTTTTAGGCAAGACCAGAAAGTTGGTTTTGAAAAACCAGGGAAAGACCGACTGGCATAGATCAACCTAGCTTTCAGATTGGTAAGATAATGTTGCATCTATTTATAACAATTAGCCTAGCAACAATTTAGGGACCTAGGAACCAAATTTAATGTAGACCTGCCATGAACTAAGCAGAAGGAATCTTAAGTAATAAATCAACATTCAGAACCCTTTCCAGGTTGAACAGCTTAGAGCTCTCCAGAGGCCAATCAATCCTTAAGTCTCCCATAAGAGTAGGTCCTACAAGGTTCCTTGGACATGCCACGATGAACCTTTTCCCAAGTTCTTGATCAATACATCAAAATCGGTCTTTCTATGTACCTTCAAATTTTCTCAAGGTGGGGTAGAAAAAAAGCACAAGTGCTTGAGCCAGAACTTAAATCCTGCCTCTATCTGGTAGGTGCAAACCTTGGTTGAGTGGCATCTAACTTTACTGTTCCTCAGTTTCCCATCTATAGAATGGGGTAATTCATGCTACCTGCTTTATGATTGAATAAGTTAAATAGGTAAAGTTTCTTAGCAGGGTCACTGGCACATAGTAATCAGTACATGCTAGATGTCCACTGGTCTGCTGAGCACAGAGCGTCTACAAGAAGCAGGAAAGTATGTCAAGTGGCTCAGGAAACCAGACATCCCGAATTAGAAGAATTTCCTCCTAGAAGAACGTGGATGTTGTAGGAGAAGTGGACAGACCAAGCCCTTGGACTCCATCAAACCTCAAGAATTTCCTTAGAGGACAGTGTGTGATGTCAGGTGAGCCATGTAGTCCCTAGTTCTGGGTGACAGTGAGGAAAACACAGTCTCAGCTTGGCTGCCTCCACATCTCCCAGGCTGGATGGGGTGGGTGGGTGGGAGAATTCATATCCTACTCGAGACTGAATAGCCTTAGGACTCCTCTCGACAGACAGGTCTGGCTGAATGTGGGGGTGGCCCCGGGGTGGACAGCATCAGAGCGACAGGGCTGAGCTCTTGGTACTTACGATAGCTCCTCAGAGTACAAGCAGTGAGCAGCAGTGAGAATCCACCACTTGTTGAGGATGGTGCCGCCACAGAAATGTTCATTTCTCGCCTGAATACTCACCTGCCATGGAAACTCACCCACCTCAGCCTCCATCCCCCCTGTGATTCTGGAATACCGAGTTCTTCCCTCGAAAATGGGTCTCTCACCGCATCCTAATGGAATGGAAGAGAGTGGAAGGGAAAGACTGTAGTACTTAGTGAACTTCCATCATGGCTCAGGTGCTGGGCAGGGAAGAGGAGGCCTGAATAGACCTTGTCAGTCTAAGTCTAGTGAGGTGCTTGAGTGATGCCAGTACTGATGTCTGCAGGTGTTTTATTTTGGTTGCACAGAGCTTGGGATCTGGATCCAAAGCTTTGGATCTGACTCTGTCCATGACCTCTCAGGTACATCGCTTCATCAAACTCACGTCTACCCTCACCCGGGAGAATCTGGAGGAAAACTGTCCAAGGGCAGTCCGGATGTGGGAGGCAGAGGAAGGGCCCTGGATAAGTCCAGGTTGTAAGGCCATGTCCCAGAACCTGCAAATATTTTGCTTTATGAGGGAAAAGGGACTTTCGAGAAAGATTTAAAGTTGCTGATCAGCTGACATAAAAATGGGAACATTTCTTTGGCTATTTTGAGTGAGCCAATCACAAGGATCCTTAAGAGCGGGAGAGGAAGGCAGAAGAAACAACGGTTAGGGGAAAATGTGGCTATGAAAGAAAGGCATAGAAAGGTGCAACAGCGCTGGCACAGAGCAGCCTTTAGAAGTTTGGAAAAGCAAGGCTAAAAGTTCTCCCCTAGGGCACTCAGCAAGAGTACGTCCTGCCAACACAACTTAGCCCAGGAGGCCCGTGTTGGATTCTATTCCACAGCGCTGTAAGGTAAGAAAATGTGTTGTTTAAGCCACTAAGTTTGTGATTCTCTGTTTCAGCAGTCCCGGGAAACTAAAACTGCATGCAGGAACCTAAAAGGGTGGCACAGAAAGTGCTGGAACCTACTGGAAAGCCCTGACTGTTCTAGATGAGCCCATGCAGAACAGTTCCTTTACTGGGAGGCTCAGAGCAAAGGGAGCCCATGCAGAACAGTTCCTTTACTGGGAGCAAAAACAGCAGCTGCTTGTGCTGAGGAGAGGAATTCACCTTCTGGACAGAGGCCAGGCCCAGCTCCTCATCCGTGGAAAGAGGGGACTCTACTCCTATTAGCTGCATGGGGGGTGATGGAACAAGGAGTGGGTTTCACTAGAGTCTGAGACCCTCTCTTTATATTTATTTGCTTGTTTAGCTTTAGAGCACATGAGCTCACTCGAGAGAGACAGAGACAGAGAGAGAGAAAGTGAGAAAGCACCCCCATACTGCAATCCCTTCTCCTCTTCCTCTCTCAGGATTTTGAACACATATACACCTGGCATGTTTCCCAAGTCACTGAGTCCAGGATTTGAACCACACAGTCGGCCATACGGGATCCAGCAGTTTAACCACCATGCTACTGGCTGCCTCCCAAGACTCTATCTTCTTTCTGTTTTTTAAAGTTTATTTCATTCATGAGGGTGAGACAGAGAAAGAGAGAAAGACAGGTACCTCAACAGGGTCTCATACCATTGTTACTCCTGGCTTTTGGGCCATGGAGTGACTCATGGGTGCATATTCTCAGTATGCACAGGTCAATCAGAGAGCCAAATCCATAGTCTTCCGTGTGGACATAGCGTGGCTGCAGGGCATTACCACGACACCACTAAGCCAACCCTTTGTTTCTAGCTAATTTTAAAACAAAGCTTAACAGATACTCTGGAAATTTTCTAGTGTGGGATAAAGTGACCCAGGAATGGTCATTTTTATTTTCATTTATTTATTTAGAAATTTTTGCCTTAGGGCTCATGGGCTTGCTGGAAAGAGAGACAGACGGACAGACAGTCAGACATAGTGAGAGGGAAAGTGAGAAATCACCCTACTCCCAGTGGGAATGGCCATGTTGCAATCCTTTCTCCATTTTCCTCCCTAAGATCTTGGACATGTATGTGGACGTGCCCAGTGTGATTCCAAGACACTGGGTCCGGGACTCAAACCAGGGTTGGCCGTGTGGAGTTCAGTGACATAATCACTACACTATCTTCTGGTCCCACCATTTTTATGTTTTTAAAAATATGTGAGTGGGGACCAGCAGACGGCATGTTGGTTACATCACTGCACTCCCACGTAGTCGACTGCAGTTCGAGTCCCAGACCTGCTGGCTTAAACCTCATGCTGGGTGTGTGTGCATGTGTTCCTAAAATCCTGAGAAAAGAATGGAGTAGAAGGGATTGCAGCAAGGTCATTCCTCCTGGGAGCAGGGTGGAGTGATTTCTTGCTTTCTGTCTCTCCATCTCTCTCTGTCTCTCCAGAGAGCACATGCGCTTTATAGCAAAAAAATCTCTCTCTAAAAATAATAATAATAATGATGATGATGATGATAATTGGAGTAAAGACTCAGCAGTACGCGTCAAGAGCCCTCAGCTGTCGGTAGTATATGAAGCTCTCTGCAGGACTTTTGAATCTGTATGTCCTCGTACATCACAATCAGCAAACATGCACAAGATGCTTGCTATGTGTCAGGCACTGTTAGAAGCACGTTACAAAGACTAATTCACTAAGTTTTTATAATCACCTTATAAGGCAAGTAATATTTTCACCACCATTGAGGTATAGAGAGCATAAGTAATTTGCCCAAGGTCACACAGTTAGTTAAATACCAAAACCAGGAGTTGAAATAGGCAATCTGGCATCAGAGTTGGTGGTCTGACCACTCCCCTGTTCTCTCTGCTTGGAAAGTTCTTCTCCCAGACAGTGGCCTGGCTCACTCTTTCACTTTGTTGACACCTCTGCCCAAATATTCCTTCTCCAAATAAGCCTTCCCTGACCTGGGTCTACAACAGCCCTTCCTGTCCTGGTTGCTCTTTTTTTCTTACTCAGTCTTATGTTCTATGCTGCATTCCATTAACTTGTACTCCACTGATTTCTCTTTGGCTGATTCTGATCCCAGAGAATAAACTTCACAAAGAGAAGGTAACTGCCTAGCTTGTTGGTCCTGGGTCCCGGAGCCTGGAACCGCACCTGGCAGGTAAGAGGTACTCAACAGCCATGAGTGGTCCTCCATGTCAATAAATCCAATTGTGAAAACTTATTCTACATGAGGATGTCTGAAGATGTTTGCTGCAGCACTCTTTAGTATAGTTACAGATGAAAAACAACCGAAATGTTGTGGTTGAATAACGCATGGTGCATCCATATCACGATCTATTTCTCAGCTCATGGGGGAATTTATAATGGTATGGGGAAATGCTTATGATAGAGAATTGAGTGATGTAAATCATATTTATAACTTGTGATTTCCTCACGTGAAGAAATTGGACTTAGACGTGTGGGAGGAAATTCATCAAAATGCCGAGAGTGGTTGTGAGCCTGATGGGAGGCTGAGTGGCTGCGACTGTGCTCGCTCTCCTCGAGATGCAGAACGTGGCATTCCGTAAGCGCATGTAGACAGTCTGAGTCAGAATCCTGGATCTGTCACCTATTTACTAAATGATTTGGGGGAGTCTACTTCTCCTTGTGTATCCTCTATTTTTAAACTGGGCATAAGATAGTACCTATCCTATGAGATAGATGTTTGGATGAACTGAGAGCCTGGGGGCTGAAGTGCCCACCACAGTGCTTGGCATACAGCAAATCCTCAGCCCGTGGGAGCTGGCAGAACCTCCCACGCCCATTCTGCCCTGAAGTCCCCACGGCACTGGCCTAGGCCCCACTCTCCATCTTCTTGGTTCTGAGAATAACCCACGACACAAGCACAGAATTGTGTGGCTCTCTGTCATTGCCAGAGGAAGTGTGCATGTACTGGAGAGAGAGAAACAGAGACAAGCACTCCCCACTGGGGTATGATCATCCCACAATCCCTTCCCCTCCATTTCTCTGTCCTGTCTGGATTTGGGGCACTATGTCCCATGGTATGTTTTTCAAGCCTCTGGGTCTGAAATTTAAACCACAGCAGGCCGTGTGGGATCTGGCTTCCTTAACTCTACAGGGCTGGCCTGTGTAAACTTTTCAATTAATCCAAGAGCACAAATCCTAGAATCAGTGATGGATGTGAAAACAGTGAGAAAGGATTTAAACAACCATGTCCTTGCAAGTGGACCCCAGAGGTCAAGTTTTGTTAGTCCTCTCTTCACACCCCACTGTGGTACACACAGCTGCCCCCAGGCCAGATTGAAGGAGCCAGGAGAATAGGCTGTGTTCTGTACAGAGGGAGGGAACCCTGGGTGCTGGAGTCAGCCTGGCGCAAATCAGGCAAATGGCTCTACCATTGTTCCCCTGTGGTAGGACTCTGGGCAAATCTTCAGTATCCATGAGGCTCTGGATCCTCACCCATACATGGGCTAGGAGTGGAAACCCCACCATGATGGTGAAGGCAATAAACATGGGAAGATATCTGACCCACAACAATTGCCAAGTAACCTAGCTTCCTTTAAGCCTTGGCCACTCCCTTGGAGAGAGAAATGACCCATCCGAGGTATCAGGTGCTGACTGCTGAGAGCAACAGTGAGCCGAACTTGACTGTGCTAAGTCCTTCCACTTTGCAACTGCAGCTCCTGAGAAGCTTCATGCTTTAGACTTTCTACCCTTTGAGTCAGAGGCCTGCCACTCAGCTACGTCTGGGCACAAGCTTCCAGGCACTCCATTTATTCCTTCAGGGATAAGGTCTTGAGTTTCAAAACAAAAATTAAGGTCACCTAAGTCAAACTTTGAGCTGAGGAAGAGAGGAAAAGAAAAGTGGTTGGAGGAGGAATGTATAGGAAAACATCAAGCTGCTGGTCTTGTGCTCTTGGGAGGTGGTCTCCCAGTGGCCAACTGGCTAGTTATGTAAGGAGCTCCCTGTCCACCTCTCTCCCTTTGCCTCTAATGCTCACCACTAACTGGACAGAGGGGAGGTGAGGAGGGTGGTTGTTAGGCCCAGCCCACCCGGGAGAGCTGATCTGGCCACTGGGAGAGAGATCACATACCGACATCTGCTCCCATGGCTTGAGAAACAAGCAGCAAAACAGATAACAGGAGCATGGCCCTTGGCGGTGCTGTGGGCCTGGGAGGCTATGGAGGCCAGGGCTGAGGGGGATGACGACCAGGCACACCTCCCTTGTTAGAACCAGACCCTGGCTGATGACGTCACAATGGGCGGTGTTCTGAGAACTCAGCCTGAGGTCCTGCAGGCTTCTTTTGTGGCTGTTTTGTCTCTAAGATGGTTGTACAAAAAGACTTGTCCTTGAAGCCTTTCTTATCACAGCTTCTCTTCCCACTGACCCAGGTGCTGTCTGTCTTCACCGAGCTCTCAGTGGGCTTCTTGATTTTGGTCTCTGTCTTGTTCAGCCTGCTTAAGACCCACATGCCTTCTCTTCCACAGAGTCTGTCACATTTCAGTTTCTCTGCAAATGTGAGGGTAAGGCAAATGGCTGCCATGCTGCACCCTAAGAATGGGAAGGGACCCCCCCAAGAGGCCCAGAGGCCTTCCCCTGCACTAACAGCCTGCGTGGTACAGTACCTTATTCAGGACTCTGACTGGTGGCCCTAACTATGGATCTCGAGTTTACAGGTCCTGGCCTCTCCTGATACTTCCCCACATGGGAAAATCCTTGATTCAATCACTTTCTCGGCTTATACCACATGGTCCTCCAATCTCCTTCCTATTCACTCCTAAAGCTACAAAGATTAGACTCACATGGCCTCCCTGATATCAACAACTTAGTCATGGGATTCGGACCTTACTATTATTACTTTTTAAAAAATTTTCACCCCTCCTTGTGCTGACTTGAGTGGACTCACCAAAGCACTGTCAGCATTGCTTTCTAGCCATTGGCCAGGCCCAAGGAATGGAAGGTAATTGTGTGCTCATTTCAGGTACCGAAGTGACCCTGAGACTACCCTGCTCAGTCTTGTTTCCTGATCACTCTGAACTATCTTGAAAAGTATCCATCAGGCCTGTGACAGAGAGCTCTGCTGGAATCCCTGGGAAGTTGGGGACAGGAGTCTGACTCATGCCAGGAAAGCTGGAAGGCAAGGGAATAGCTGACACAGCGCTTTGGTTCTGGGAGAATTGCTGCTGGATGGGGACTTCTCTGAATAGCCAGAGTTTATGCTTGGACCCAATGTGGGCTGCCCAGGAAGAAGGATGCCCAGGGGTGGTCTTAGGATCCATCCCATTGAGCTTCCTGGAGCAGACAAGGAGACCTCAGAAGGAAGAGGCCGGAAGCCAACTGTGGAGTTACAGCAGTAATATGATGCTTGATGTTGAAGCTACATATGAAAGTCAGGTTTTCACAGAAAGGTCTCTCTGTACATGTAATAGGGGCCTGCTTAGCCAGACTGACTCCATCTTGCTAAAATCAAAACCTTTTCTCTCAGCCAGATACTCTTTGTTTGAGATTTCTCACAGGAACTCCAAGGAGACAAACCACCAACCCAGTGCTTGGAAAAATGAGGGATGCTCTGTCCCAGTCACAAGCTGAAACTCCTGTCTTGAAGATGAATCATTTGATTGTACCTCTTAGCTAAGACTGAAACTCCTCTCTCAAAGACTAATCACTCGATTATGTCCCCAGCTAAAACCTAGCCTGATCTATGCCTTTCTATACTTTTTTATAGATAGCTGGAAGTCAAAAAGCAGCTCTTTTCCCCTTCCCCTATGAAAGAATCTGTAAGTTGGCCAACCAGTTAGATATTCTTACACGTCTTTCCCATGTAGCCGCACTATAATCAATTTTCCTTTCCTTTCTCATCAACAATTTTGCCTCTCTCTGTTTTGTTGAGTGAAGAGGGGTTGGACCCACTTTGTGTTTCCAGAGTGGGTGTGTAGAGCCCCTCACCCAGCAACATTCAAACAGGGCACACGTGACTATGATCCTGGCCAGCTGAGAATGGCGTGGATCACAGCATGAGGACTCCATTGTTGGTGTCCGCTTTTCTTTCCTTCTGAACAATAAATACAATTTTTTAAAAATTAAAAAAAAAGGAAGAGACTGGAATGCACCATCGTATATTCGGAGTTGACAAAGAACAGAAAGTAACCTTGGCAAAGAGATAGCTCCACCTGGGCCTGAAGACTGCAGGACAAAGGAGCCTATCTGGAACCTTGGAAGAACCCTTGAAAACACATCACAAGAGTCGGCCGTCAATGCCAGGCTCAGAGGAGAGTAAGCCGATGTGTGGTCTTCTTTTCCTTGACATGTGCCTTCTTTCAACTTTGATCCCCAGAAGAAAGGTGAGCAGAGTCAGAGGTGAGAGGAGGACCCAGGGAAGGAGAGGGACACTAAATGCTGAGTCAGATTCAGCATCTGGAGTGTGACAAGGGCTTGGATGTTCTAATTCATAAATTACAACTGAGTGCAGACTCAAGTTCTTGTATTACTATACCTGATGACTTCCTGTGTGCTGTGTGTTACGTTTACTCTGAACAGTCCTGTGAATCAGGTCCAATTAGTCCCTTCCCTGTTTCGTATAGGAGGAAAAAAGCCTTAGATAAGGCTGTCTCTTCATTTGTTCATTCATTCATTCATTCATTCATTTAGCTATAGGGCACATGTAATTGCCAGAGAGATAGAGAGAAAGCAAAAAAGTCACCCTGCAGGGTGGATGGCCACATCACAATTCTTCTTGGGATCTGGGGCATGCACACACGCTCACCTGGTATGAGTTTAAGCCACTGGGTCTGAGACTCAAACCATGGTCAACTCTGTGGGAGTCCAGTGATGTACCCATTACACCATCTGCTGGTTCCGTGTTTCTTTTTCTTTTAAAAAATTGTTGTTGGCAGGCATTCACCATTATCATCCAGGCTGTTATAACAGGTTAATAAGTATCACGCCAGGATTCAAACCCAGGTTTGCTCGGCCCCCAAAGGCCACTGCTATCACAATGTGCTTTTAGACAGATAATCATGACTGATTCTCATAGCATTTTGGTAAGTCCTCTCAAAAAATCAGGATGTTACTAACAAACCTTAGATCACTTGCTCAAGATAATGCAACTCATTGGGGTGGAGCCAGAACTAAACTACCTCATGATTTACAGGTCAATGTCCACCTTGAGAGGCAAACCTTCTCTTCTCAGGGCATTCATTCATTTGTTCCAACTATTTACTAAATGCTTAATATGTACCAGGCATCATGGGAGTAAGTAAAAAAGAAAAAGCCCTTGCTCTCATCAAGGTGAAAATGTAGTGGGGGCGACAGAAGTAAATCGATAGTGAGGACATAGACTACCTCGGATGGTCTTAAGTGCTACAGAAGAAGTCAAGCAGGGAGAGGGCATGGGGGCATGGGTTAGGGAGGAGTGGGTACTATTTCTACAGGGTGATCAGAGAGGCCTCCCTGTCAAGGTGACTGGGAAGACACCTGAAGAAAGGAGAGAGGGATTCTCAGATGTAACTGGGGGACCTTTTGGATAACTTGGGCACCTTGTAGATAGTTGCTGTTTCAGGCAGCAGGTTCTTCACGCATCTAATCGTCATATATTCATTCTTGGAATGACAGGGACTGTGCTTATGAAGGAGAGGAGATAGAGTGGTGACTACAGAGTAAGTCAAAGGAGAGGGGGGCAGTTTTGGCAATATAATTTCAAGGTAAAGATGATGCAACACCTTCAAATGCTGGTGGGAAGGGTGTGGAAGAGTGCGATGATGGAGAGAGGATATAATTGTTACTATCAGATTCCTGAGGGAAAGGGAGGGATAAAATGGCTCAGAGCACCCATAGAGTGATTACCCTCCATCAGAAGGTATCTTGGACCAGCCAGTGGCATGGTGATTAAGGCGGCTGGATCCCACATGACCAACTGTGCAGTTCTGAGTCTCAGACCTGGCAGCTTGAGAAGCACACTGAACACATATGTGTGTGTACATGTGTACCCAATATCCCAAAAGAAGGGAGAAATGGAAGAGAAGGCCCTCCAGCAAAAATTTAAAACAAGAAGCAGCTCTCTTTGGAAAATCCTTGTCCCATTTTCCATGCTAATAATCCCTCCTGCTTTTCCTCCAGCTCACCTAGCAAATGCCAGCCTTCTTGTCTAGTTTCATCTCCCTTCCATGACTCCAGATGTTGCATGTTCTCTGAGGTTCAGTCCTCAGCCCCCTCTGCACATGCTCTCCCTGGGCCATCTCATCGTCTGCCTGCCTTCATAGATGGCTGACTCTCCAGTTATCATCTTCTACCCCCAAACGTTCAGAGCTGTATTTACATCTGCCTACCTAGTGTCTCTACGTCTGCCCTCTTTAGTTTGGCCCAGTTCCACTTGTTTCTCTGCAGCCCCACCCTCCCTTTCCTACCTCAGGTTGCCATCCTCTCCCACCTGTTTTCCTGGAGCCACTTCCTATATGACGTACTCTTTTCTACTTTTGTCCTCTCTAAAATAATCTCCGTGTTATACCCAGAGTACATTTGTATTTCTTTTTTATATGTTTCTCTTTTTTTCTTTTCTTTTTCTTTTTTATCACCAGAGAGAATCAGATGTACCCACCAGAGAGAGAAGACTGAGGTGGGGCAGGAAGAGGGAGAAAGCACCCCTAGGGCCCCCAGGTGGGGCATGGTCAGGCCACAATCCTTTTCCTCCATTTCTCCATCCTACCTGGAATTTAGGCATGCATGCTTACACACTCAGCATCTTTCTCAAGGCACCAGGGTGGGATTCGAACCACCACTGGCCATGTGGGATTCTGCTCCCTTAACCTCTAGGCTTCAAAATAATCTTTTAATGCAAATATTACCACGTGACTCACTTTAATTCTATCTCCTCCCCTCCAATTGCCCTCAAGATAAGGTCCAAATCTTCTATCAAGGCATATCAGACTTCTGAAACCTGGTTCCAGAGTGAGACCCAAAGCTCTTCATTGCCGATGCAAACTCTAGAATGGCTAGCTCCTCACATTGGTCAGAGTCAAGGCTGGGAGGGGTGCACACAGACCAACAAGGCTAACATGACCCTTCCGGGATGTCCCTTTAGCCACCACTACAGAGAGAACGCTAGACAGAGAAGAACTGGGCTGTGTGGACATGGCTGAGTCAGGCCAGCCTGCACCCCCGGCTTCTCCCTAAGCAAGATTTACTGTGATGTCACCTGGGTCTAGCACAGCCATGCATTTGTGACACCCTGCCTGATGCAGCTGCATCTGTCATCATCTTTCACTGGAGGCAAGGGTTGGGAAATCCTGCATGGGAATGATGAGAAGATGCTCCAGCTTCTAATTCCACTGCTCACGGCATTCAAAGGTTACGCCCAGGAAGATCAAGGTCTGTTCCAGGCTCGCCCCAGGCAGAGGCTGGGAAAAGGCCTACCGCCTCTTACCTCTGGAGTGGATTTAAAGGCCCAAGGGGTGCTGAGTCGGAGCACATAGCTCAGGAAATGAAAAGATTTTAATTGATGAATCAAAGTCGATGGCTCAGTGAAGATGCCGTCTCAAATGACCCCTCAGGGTCTGACCCAGAGCTCTGGAAGCACAGGGACTATGAAAGAACAAGTTAGCAGTTGAGGTTGTTTCGCCCATTCCTACCCAACTCTTGGTAAAAGCATCAGGACTGTCCTGGGCCCCGCACCCTGGGAGAGGCAGCAGAGGGGTAGTGGAATAAGGCCATATTTCTTTTAGAACACCCGCATTAGATCATGTGATCTCATAAAATGAGAAACATTATCATAATGAGTAAACGAATCAATGCAAAGTTTGTTCTAGAGATCTTCAGTTCTGTGAAAAACTCCACAGGGAAAAGCTCCATGGTTTGATGGGATTCAGAATGTGCCACTGGATACTTTTTCTTCAGACTCACAGTGGAGAGGCACAGTAAAGCTTTGGATGTTTTTAAAGTAAAGAAAGTGGCTTAGTTTTACTTGATCTGGCATATTTATTTATTTTGAGGTTTTTGCCAGAGTGCTTGCATTCGCTGCAGAGAGACACAGAACGACAGAAAGAAGGAAAGTGAGAAATTACCCCCTCCCTGGGGGTGGGGTCTCCCCACAATCCCTTCTCTTCCATTCTCTTCTCGGGAGTCTGGGCATGCATGTACATGTAGCCCAGCATAATTTTCAAGGCACTTGGTTCAGGACTTGAACCGCAGTCAGCCATGTGGGAGTCCAGTGCCTTAGCCACGATATCACCTTCTGAGATGTATATGATCTCAGGAGTACCTTTGCTGCCAGACTTATTTATAACATTTTCTACTTATTCTTTTGAGAATTACCTGTCCTTATAGTTTTCACATTTTTTTCCTCTGGGCGAATTTGTGAAGTTGATGTATAGGAATTTTAAAAGTAAAAATATGTTTGTTTTTAAATGTGCCAGCAGGCACGTGTGCTTGTCAGATAGAGACAGAGCTGAGGAGGGAGAAAGCACCCACCCACTGAGGCACGGTCATGCCGTAATCTCTTTTCCATTTCTCCAACCAGTCAGGATTTGGGGCATGCAGGCACATGCACCCGGAGTGTTTCTCAAGCTGCCAGGTCTGGGATTTGGTCAGGTGGCATCTAGTTCCCTTAACTTCCAGACCACAGGCTGGCCTGATTTTACTTTAGTATAATTTTGTACAGCAAAATCTTTTCTCCTAATTCTTTAATTCCAACTGTATACTGGACCAAACAAAAATGTAAAACTTATGCAAGAAATTTATTAATATTTTTACCTATGGTTCTTGCTTTTATTTGATCTATCAGAAGGGCTCTTTAATCTCCCACCTAGAAGAGGCCATACGAAAGATGATGGGGCCTGACCCAGGCCAGGGAAAGTGAACTGTGTTTAAAGTTGAGATTGGATTCTGTTCTGGCTCCTAAATTCTTCTCCTGGCTCCCCTGACCTCCTCTGTGTTCTATATAATTCTTTACCTCCAAGGACTTGCTCTGGAAGATCCCCTTTCTGCCTCTGTGCTCGTCTATGGGATTCATCTATGAACTTGCTTAAAATATAATGTTTATCAATTGTTTTTCAAAAGCATTATTTAAATATTAAAGATAATAACGTTTTATCTAAAAAAGTTTGTAATTACTTCACCCAATTTATAGATTTTTGTTTTGTTTTGTTTTGATGTTCATAATTGAAAGTTTGTTCCTTGGTTAAAAATTTCTCTTTATTATTTCTTCGTATGGCTTAAATGCTTAAAGTCATTGAGTTTTCTAAGCAATGAATAAAGAAGCTTCTTTTGAAGGAGATTGTGTCCATCTGTCATGATTGCCTTCAACACAGCATAAGAACATCCCTGGAGTTCTATCTTGTCAAATCAGTCACGTAATTTGCTCTAATTCTTTTTTTAAAAAAAGAATTATTAATTTATTATTACATTTTTTTTTAGAGAGAGATTTTTGCTATCGGGTGCATGCACTCACCCGAGACACAGAAAGAGAGAAATCACCCTCCGGGGGGATAGCCACTCCACAATCCCTTCTCCTCTCAGGATCTTGGGCACACACGCACATGAGCCTGTCATGAGTTTTAAGCCACTTGTCCAGGACTTGAGCCGCGGCCAACTACATGGGAGTCCAACAACGTGACTATTACACCATCTGCTGGGCCCTTATTATTATCTTTTTAATTTGACTAGAGAGAGTGGGAAAGTGAGAAAGCAAGCCACCAGGTCTGGGACCTGAACCAGTTAGCCATGGTTCGGTTGTTGGGAATCCAGCTTCCCAAAAACCACACCACTTGCTGGCCCCTAATTCCCTTTCATACATCATGGTAAGAATTTATTTAGGGGGGTCATTTTGTTGATTCAGAGTAGATGTTTTTTATTCCATCTCTTGTTCCTAGTTCCAGCCCAAGGCAATCCAGAGAAATTCTGACTTGCATTTGGCTGCAAACATACCTTCTCCAGTGAGTTCTGAATCCCAATCATGGGGAGGGGCTCCCCTGCCAAGATCACTAGTACTCCTTAGATACATTCCCCTAGCTCTTCCCCTAGCCCTGCAGCGTTCTTAGAGTCCCCTCATCCTTTCCAGTTACTCCCCAATTACAGTTTCTGAATTTTTACATCAAACTTCCCCTGTTCCAATGACTGCATGGCTTCTGTCACCTGTATGGAGCTTGTGTTTGTTTGGTGTGTCTCCTTTGCCATCTAACACTGTCCACTTTATGGTGGGGCTCCGCCCTGACTTCCCTGGGTCTTTGGATGTGTGATGTGCTGGTGTTTCTGAGATCTGTCTCTGCTGTGTCTGCTCATTTTACTTCATTTGGTTTTGGCCTTGGTCTTAGTTGGGAGGGTACTGGGAATACAGGATAAAGATTTCTCATTGCTTCTCATGTACAAATGGCTCTTTCCTTTCTTTTTGAGAAAAAGTTAAATGTGGCTACAGACCTGCCTTTCCCAATCCATCATGGTTACCATTTCGTGAACTGCTTCAAGTCCAGAATGGTGAGTTCCCGTGGCAAGTGAGTATCCAGATGTCTCGGAAACACCTCTGTGGAGGCTCAATCATACACCGGTGGTGGGTTCTGACAGCTGCACATTGCTTCCCAAGAACCCTGTAAGTTTCTGAGACACTGTCTTAATTTACATCATGTCTTAGCAACATCTTGTCTGGGCTAGGTAGACCAATGGGTTGGTATACAAGGCCAGTGAAGCCATCAGCTCTGTGCCCATTCTCTCTCTTTATTTGGTCAATCTTATCCCAGGTGGACTGCTAGTTGAGGTAATGCAACACAATGGAGTTATTCATCATATCATATTTATTGAGCATCTACTATTTGTTGGTTTAAGTGCTGAGGATTTAGCAGTCGACAAGACAACTAAGTTCACGTCCTCATCTCAGATGGATTCATCCCACTTCTGTTGTTGCAGGAGTAGTGGGGGTCAGGGGGGCCCTGGGCTGATAGTGCACTGGCTCAGAGATTTTCCCAAATTTTGGGCCCTATCTAAACTCTGACCACCCTCCAGTTCACAGAATCACATCCACTATTCTGTATTTCTCAACATTTCATTGTAAACTCTACAGTCTACGCATATGTCTATGAACACAAAATGCACTATAACTGTTAGCATTGGTGTTTTATATCTACTTCTTAGATTAGAAACGACAGTGGTGAATATCACTGTGGTCATGGGAGCCAGAACATTTAGCGACATCCGTGTGGAGAGAAAGCAAGTGCAGAAGATCATCATTCACAAAGATTATAAACCACCACACCTTGACAGTGACCTCTCGCTGCTCCTGCTTGCCACACCAGTACAATTCACCAACTTCAAAATGCCCATCTGCCTGCCGGAGAAGGAGGGTACCTGGGACCGATGCTGGATGGCTGAGTGGGTAACAGCTGGTGGATATGGTATGTGCCTTCTCTTGGGAGCCCATTGAAAGTCCACATTTAGATTACCCTGGGCGGGACCAGCAGTTAGCATAATGGCTATGTTGCTGGAATCCCATGTAGTTGACCATGGTTTGAGTCCCAGACCCAGTGGCTTGAACTCACACTGGGCATATGTGCGTGCATGCCCAAGATCCTGAGAGGAGAATGGAGGAGAAGGAATTGCGGAGTGGCCATCCCTCAGGGGGTGATTTCTCATTTTCTATCTCTGTCTTTCTCTTTCTGGCTAGTGCACACACCCTCTAGCAAAAATCTCTCTAAAAAAAACATAGATTGCCCCGGGCTAGACAGCATGATGCTTTGGATCATGTGATAAGACCCAAGTCTAACTGTTGGCTTTACTGCTCTCTAGTTTTGTGAACTTGGGTGAGTTTCTTCACTTTCCTCACCCATAGAATAACATTAATGACTCTCTGGAATAAGTTACATAAATTAGACTAAAATGAAATTATAGATGTAATGTCCCCAGTAAAAGCATGGGACATAGGAGAATCTCAAAACATGAGAGCAATGATAATTTTTAAGAAGCCAGAAGCATAAGCTAGTTTGGATCTTCCTTTGGGGGCTGTTTTACAATGCCCCTCTCTCCATCTGTTGACCACAATTACTCACTAATTACTCCACCCCTTTCCCTGCAGAGCACAAAGCTGGCTGGTCAGGGGAACCTCTTGGGGGGAGACAGCCACAAGCTCCACTAGTGTTATGGTCATTTCCTTCCTGAAAAATGGCACATCCAAGTGTGTCCTTTTATTGGTTTCTGCATTTTGTTTGGCAAATACACTGGGTGCCATTGATTCAGAGGCTGGGCTGTTCTGAATTTTCGTACAAGAACAAAACATGGCTATGTCTAGAGAGTGTGGTCACATAAAAACCTCTTTCCTGGGTTCCCCTGGCAGGAGCTGCTGCTGGGGTTTTGTGGGCTACTTCTACAGGGAGTGAGCTTCTCACAGAAAGAAGTAGCATTTGAGACCCCAACCCTAGCAATAAGGGGTACTGTGGGACACAAATGATAGAGCTTGGCACACTGGAAATCAGCTGTTGGGTGGGGCTGCTGGAAAGGAGGTTGAGTAGGGCCTTGTGTTGGGTTACCTCAGGTCTTCCTACCTTGCAAATTCATGATATTGTTGAACATTTGTGACCTTCTAGGATTTTCATCCTGGTCTAGGATTTTCACACTCACTGTTGGTGGCTGGTGTGGTGGTCATTCTTACACTGGCTTCCTCACTTTGTCAGGCCAATATGAAGTCTTAAACAAGCACCTGGAGAAGCTGAGAGTGGTGAAGATTACCCGGAAAAAGTGCATGAAGAGGGTAAAGCAGCTCTCCAGGAGCATGTTTTGTGCCTGGAAGGAACAAGGCACCAATGGCAACTGTAAGGTACTCAGCCCCTGCTCAGACCCTTCCTTCACACACCCCTCCACTTTCTAGGTTCCCAGGAGAGTCCAGGAGAGAGGCCCCTAGTCCATAACCCTAGGAATCCCCCACCACCACCATGTCCTCTTGCTGAAGAGATTGCTGATTGCTTGTGGACTGTTCCTTCTTCCTTTTCTCATTCCCAGGGAGACAGTGGGGCACCTATGGTCTGTATTAACCACGGAACCCAGAGGCTCGTTCAAGTGGGTGTCTTCAGCTGGGCCATTAGATCCGGCTCCAGGGGAAGACCTGGTATGTTTGTGTCTGTGGCTCAATTTATTCCATGGATCCAGGAGGAGACAGAAAAGGAGGGAAAAGCCTACACCATCTCAGGAGCCCTGAGAAGCTCTCTGATTTGTGTTCCACAGTACCCCTTATTGCTAGGCTTGGGGTCTCAAATGCTACTCACTACTATGTTTACTGGTGATAAATTAAATCTCTAAGCTTTGAACCCATCTTTTTTTCCTTCTCTTTCTTGCCTCTCCTTTTCTCCCATCCTTACTCAAGCACCCAAGGAGAATTTACTTTGGAATAGCCTTTGTGCCTAATCCCAGAAGTTAGACACGAACTCAATTCTCCCAAATCTCACAGTGTAATGAAGGAATATCAAACAGAAAGCTAAAACAAGACATGCATGGGAGTGGGGGTGGGTAAAGAGTCTCAGGGGAAGAAGCAATAACCTCCAACAAAGAAAGTCAAGGAAGACTTCAGGAAAGCATCAGAAAATCAAGCTTGGGAGATGACTCCCTGTTTTTGGATCTCTGTTTCTTTACGAAAAAGGAGATTTGATCAGATGAACTTTAAGGTCTTCATACTAACATTTTGAAACACTTAATAACTACTTACAATTCATGGGATACGGCATTGCCTAGTCATTGGCTAGCTTTAATTGTACCACTTCTGTACTCATAGACCCAAGCACAGAGAGCTCCCCATCTGAGTGAGGCACAAGTGCTTTAGTCTCCAGAACTACTCATGAAATAAAGTCTATGGTCAACTTAGCATGAGGGATCTTTTGTCCAGTTTGGAGTTGAAAGTGGGGAGATGACGACTTAGCATTTAAGAGACCACACCTCTTTTCCTCCCCTTCATATATCCTCCCTCTTGAAAAAGTTAGAATAATAAGGTAACTTGGAGGAAACATCAACATCTGTCTTTTTCATGTATGTGACTGGCTACATGGGGACCACTGACGTGACCAAATTCATTACCCATCAAATGAGAAAAGATAAGAATACTTAAAGACAATAAAGCAAGCAGGTCTTTTCTGTGAGAAGAAACAGAAGAGCTTATGTAGTCAGAGTGAAATACAGAAAATAAAAATTTCATTTTTAGTAATTTGTGAGACCATATATAAAAATCAGTGCTATAGATATAGCCAATCAGGGCTAATAGTCTTTTCAGGGTCCTTTCCTTAAGTCTACCTGGCATAGATGCAAGTGAGACAATCAGCCATATGGCTGCATAGGAGGAAAAAAATATTCCTTACTTTATTTGGATACTTTGTGAACATGTGTTTCAGGAACTAGAAAGATACAAGAACATAGATGACATGGGTGTTTTGTGACTTTCAATACATATGTCACATCCAAATTTGTGCATCTTCTGCAGGGTCTCCTAGTAATTAGTAATACATTTCATTTTGCATTTTTATTTTATTTTAAAAGGTTTATTTACCTATTTTCTCCATGAGTGAGCTTGCATGAGAGAGAGGGTCTTGACCCAACAGGGTCTTAATGCCATGATCCACTCCCAGTTTCAGTCAGCCCTGGATCATGGGCATGCATGTGCCTATTATGTTCAGACAGGTCTCTGACCATGAATCCAGTACCTTCCCATGTGGGTCAGACTCACAGAGCATTTCATTTTACCATTGCACTATCATCTGGCCCCTAAATAGTTTCATTTCAGATAGACAGATAGTTTCATTTTGTTTATATATAAATCTATATCTTGCATATAAACATAAAAACAAAATGTTTTGTTTTCATTTTGTTTATATATAAATATACAAGAATTTTTTGGAAAAACTTGTTTAAAAGGATTATTTTATTTAACTTTATTTATTTTATTTTGACCAAAGAGGGACAGAGCGAGAGAGAGAGAGAAAGGGAAAGTGAGAAAGCAAACCACCAGGTCCAGGACTCAACTCACGGTCACCATGCGGGAGTCTAGTGCCCTTAATCACCATGCCACCTGCCGGCCCCACAAATACACATATAGTTTTATCTTATTATATGTGCTTTCATTTCATATGTAGGTTTAATGTAAGGAACTGGGGGCCACATGGTTATGGGGACTGGCAAGTCTGAAATTTGTGAGGCAGGCTGATAACATAGAGACTTGAGAGAGAGAGTTGCATTCAAAGGCCATGAGGAGGCAAAAATTATTCTTCTTTGGGGGACTTAGGTCCCCACTCTGAAGACCTTCCATTGACTAGATGAAGCTCATCTGCATAAAATGTCCTTTAATCAAAGTCAACTGACTAAAAAATTAATCACTCTAAAAATTACCTGCACAGCAACATTTAGATGGGTATTTGACCAGACAGCTGAATATCAAGGTGACGTAAAATTAATCATCACACTGACATGGTCCCATTCATAGAGCTCCTGGGAATAACATGAAGTACAGAACATCCTTCTTTGGAATTTACTAGAATATAGCACATATCAAAGATTAAATGACAGAGGAAGCTGAAATTCCCTTACCCCACTGAAATGATCTTGATACTCTTTATCTAATGTATGACTGAGATGGGCTTCCCAGCCTAACCTAGTGACAAAGATTGATGTGCTCTTCTCATTTTTTCCTTTTTATTTCTATTTTTTTTAATTTTTGAAAAGTTTACATTTATTTACTGTATATTATTACAACATACAAAATGAATTTTTCTATCCAGATTACTGAATATTGACCCTGTCCAAGATATTACCATACCTATTATATTCAACAGGTAATTTTTCCATTTTGTGTTTCTTAACTGTTTTACTTCTTTTTTCCCCTTGATTCCCTCCTTCTCACCCTTTGCCATTTCCCACCCTCTGCCATTTCCCACCCCCTTCCACACTGTCTCTGGTGTCCTCAGAGTGTCCTCTTCCCACACTGTCTCATGGTGTCTCCATACCTTTATGTTGTCCAATATTTCAGTTTCTGCACATTTGGCATATAGTAAGTGGGGACATACAATGCCTGTCTTTCATAGTCTGACTTGCTTTACTTAAGAGTAAGTTCCCCTTGGGAACCAGCAGTTAGCGTAATGGCTGTGTCACTGGACTCCCACGTAGTCGACTGCAGTTTGCGTTCCGACCCCGGGGCTTAAAACTCATGCCGGGCGCGTGTGCGTGCGTGCCCAGGATCCCAAGAGGAGAATGGAGGAGAAGGGATTGCGGCGTGACCATCCCCCCTGGGGGGCGATTTCTCGCTTTCTGTCTCTCTGTCTCTCTCTGTCTGTCTGGCGAGCGCACTTGCCCTATAGCGAAAACCTCTCAAAAAAAAAAAAAAAAGTTAAGTTCCCTTCATATTTGTCCACTTTCTATCAAATACTATGATCTTATTTTTTTTAATGACTGAGTAGTATTTTGTAGTTTATATGTAGTATATTTCTACATTTAAAAGAATAGATTTCTCTTTAACAAGTATAGGTTTATAGAAATAAAGTCTGGTGAGTTCCCATATACTCTTATTTTCTCCCAATTTCCCCTATTTTTAACATCTTGCACTAGTGTGGTTTATTAATTATAATTAATAAGCCATTATGAATGAATCATTATTAATTAAAGTCCATCATTTACCTTAGAGTATACTCCTGGCATTGCACATTCTATGAGTTTTGACAAGCATATAAGTACACGTATCCACCACTACAGTCTCATAAAGAACAGATTCACTGGCTACAAATCCTTTGTGCTCTACCTGTCCATCCACCCTTGCCCCACCACACACCTGGCAACCACTACCTCAGTTTTGTCTTTTTGAATGCCATAAAGCTGTGGGACCAGCAGAAGGTATAATGATTACATTGCTGGACTCCCATGTAGTTGACCTCAGTTCAAGTCCCAGACCCAGCAGCTTAAAACTCATACCAGGCAAGTGTGCATGTGTGCCCAAAATTCTGAAAGGAGAATGGAGGAGAAGGAATTGTGGCATGGTCATTCCCCATGGGGGATTTTTTACTTTCTGTCTCTCTGGTGAGCATGCACACACTACAGCAAAAATCTCTCTCTCAAAAAAAAAAAAGTGTCATAAAGATGAAATCATATAGTATGTAGCCTTTCGGATTGGCTTCTTTCAATTAGTAATATATATTTCAAATTCCTTTGTGTCTTTTCATGGACTGATAGCTCATTTTCTTTTAATGCTGAAGAATATTTTATTGTACCAATATACTACAGTTTGTTTATCCATTCACCTGTTGAAGAACATCTTGATTGCCTCCACATTTTGGCAATTATGAATACAGCTGTTATAAACATTTGTGTAGATTTGGTATGGACATGAGTATTCAATTCATTTGGATGATTACTAAAGAGTGCAATTGTCAAATTGTTTGGTAAGAATATGTTTAGTTTTGTAAGCAGCTGTTAAACTGTCTTTAAAAGAGTGCACCACTTTGCATTCCCACCAGCAATGAATTATGAAGTCATATTGAGGGGGTGGAAGGTGAAGTGGGGGTGGTTGGGGCTCTGGACTCCTACATGGCTGACCATGGTTCAAGGCCTGGACCTGGTGGCTTTCTCACTTTTCCTTTCTCCCTCTCCCTGGCCAAATTTTAAAATAAATAATAATAATAATACAATTAAATACATTTTTTTTAAATAAAAAGTTCATGTTGATCCACATTTTTGCCAGCATTTGGTGTTGGCAGTGTATTGGATTTTAGTCATTCTAGTCAGTGTGTAGTGAATGTCATCGTCATTTTAACTAGCAATTCCCTAATGAGTGATACTGAGCTTGTTCTCGTATGCGTATTTTTGGTAAGATATTTGTACAGATTGCTCATTTTGCAACTGTGTTATTTATTTTCTTATTGTGAAGTATTATGATTTCTTTGTATATTCAGATCTTTATCAGGTAATATGGGCTACATCTTACTTCAAAAACCCTCTTTTTAGGAAACACCTAGGAATAAAAGCTAAAATTCAACAAATATCTTTCACAATTCATAGCTAAGCCCATAAGAAAATAAGAAAATTTCTGGAAGTAAAAATGGATAGAAAAACTATGGCACATATACTCAATGGAATACTATTCAGCCATTAAAAAAAACCCTGACTTTTGACAGGAAGTGGATGAATATGGAAGATTTACTGCTGAGTGAAGCAAGCCAGGCTATGAAGGAGAGGCATTGTATGTCCCCACTTAATATATACCAAATGTCCACACACTATGACTGAAATTGACTAAAGGATATAGAAACACAGTATATAGATGTAAATACCAGATATAG